TTTTTTCTGTATATTTTTAGTTGGCCAGCTCATTTCTTTCTATTTTTTTTTTAGTAGAGACGGGGTCTCGCTGTTTCTCAGGCTGGTCTCTAAACCTGACCTCGAGCGATCCTCCCGCCTCGGCCTCCCTCCCGAGTAGCTGGGACGACAGGCATGCGCCACCATGCCCGGCTCATTTCTTTCTATATTTATATTTTGAGTCGTCCAGCTCATTTCTTTCTACTGTTTTTTAGTAGAGACGGGGGTCTCGCTCTTGCTCAGGCTGGCCTCGGACTCCTGGCCTCGAGCGATCCTCCCTCGTCGGCCTCCCTGAGTGATGGGATTCCCTTTTGTCTTTATTGATTGATTGATTTTATTTTATTTTATTTTTGGTTGTTGAGACAGAGTCTCACTCCGTCTCCCGGGCTAGAGCGCCGTGGTGTCGGGCTAGCTCAAGAGGCAACCTCCAGCTTTGAGGCTCAAGCGATCCTCCTGCCTCAGCCTCCTTCCTCCCGAGTAGCTGGGACGACAGGCGTGCGCCACCACGCCTGGCTCATTGTTTTTCTATATTTATATTTTTAGTTGGCCAATTAATTTCTTTCCATTTTTTTTTTTTTAGTAGAGACGGGGTCTCGCTCTTGCTCAGGCTGGCCTCAGACTCCTGGCCTCCAGCGATCCTCCCGCCTCGGCCTCCCTCCCGAGTAGCTGGGACGACAGGCACGCGCCTCCACGCCCGGCTCATTTTTCCTATATTTTTTTTAGTTGTCCAGCTCATTTCTTTCTATTTCTAGTAGAGACGGGGTCTCGCTCTTGCTCAGGCCGGCCTCGGCCTCCTGGCCTCGAAACGATCCTCCCGCCTCGGCCTCCCAGAGCGCTGGGACGACAGGCGTGGGCCTCCGCGCCCGGCTGAAAATGAACGTTTTAAATCCGTGTCTGCTGGTGGCGCCTCCTTCCTGGGCGGGCTCCCCCAGGCTCGAGGGCGTCACCTCACTCCCCTCTTTCCGTCGTCAGAAACTGCGGCTCTGCATGGACAAAGTGGACCAGAAAGCTCCGGAATACGTCAGGATGGCCGCGTCCCTCAAGTGAGGCTCTGCCCCCCGCACCCCGGGCGTCGCTGGCCTCCTCAGTCCCTTCCCCAGGGGACAGGAACGGAAATTCCTGACTCCCAGCCATGCCCCCTTTTATTTATTTTTTCTTTTTCTTTTTTTTGCCCTTATTATTATTTTTTTTTATGTTTGTTTATTTTATTTATTTTTTTTCATTTTTTATGAATTTTTTTCTTTTTCTTATTTATATATCGTCTGTTTACTTTTTATGGTTTGTTTTTATTCATTTTTATTTTTTTGTGGGTTATTTATTTTTGTTTTTTTGTTTTTTTATTTTTGTGTGATTTTTCAAATTTTTTTAAAATTTATTTTTATTTTTTATCATTTTTTTCCTTTTTAAATTTATTTTTATTTTTTATCATTTTTTTCTTTTTTCTTTTTTGTGTTTTTATCATTTTTTTTCTTTTTTATTTTTTTGTATTTATTTTTATTTTTTATCGTTATTTTCTTTATTAGTTTTTGTATTTTTATTTTGTATCATTTTTTCTTTATTTTTTGCATTTATTTTTATTTTTTATCATTATTTTCTGTTTTTATTATTTTTTGCATTTATTTTTATTTTTATCATTATTTTCTGTTTTTATTATTTTTTGCATTTATTTTTATTTTTTATCATTATTTTCTGTTTTTATTATTTTTTGCATTTATTTTTATTTTTATCATTTTTCTTTTTTTATTGTTATTTTTATTTATTTTTATTTTTTATCATTTTTTCTTTTTTATTATTTTATGCATTTATTTTTATTTTTTTAATTTTTATTTTATTTTTTTTTTGAGACAGAGTCTCACTTGTTGCCCAGGCTAGAGTGAGTGCCGTGGCGTCAGCCTAGCTCACAGCAACCTCAAACTCCTGGGCTCGAGCGATCCTTCTGCCTCAGCCTCCCTGGTAGCTGGGACTACAGGCATGTGCCACCATGCCCGGCTAATTTTATATATATATATATCAGTTGGCCAATTAATTTCTTTCTATTTATAGTAGAGACGGGGTCTTGCTCTTGCTCAGGCTGGTTTCGAACTCCTGACCTCGAGCAATCCGCCCGCCTCGGCCTCTCAAAGTGCTAGGATTACAGGCGTGAGCCACCGCGCCCGGCCTTCTTTTTAATTTTTTTAAATTTGCAATTTAATTCAACTTTTTGAAAGTTTTTTGTTGTAATATTTTTAATTTGTAAATTCAATTTTTTTTAGGATTTTTTCTTTTTAAAAATTATTATTTACGTATTATTTATAGTTATATTTATACTTTTTATGATTGATGGTTTATAATTTTTATTATGTATTTTTTAAAGAAAAAAAAAATTAGAGATGAGAAGCCCCAGGGCCTCATTATTTTATTTTGTGAAATGAGGCCTCCCTTCCCAGCCTCCCCTGGGCCAGCGTGCTTTTGACCTCAGCGGTTGGATGTCCCGTGGGTGCAAGGCGGGAAACGGGCCCGAATGCCAGCCGGGGACCCCAGGGTGCCACCGTCCCTGGTGACTCGCTTGTCCCCCACCCCCTTCTCATTTCTATATCTCCACCCTCCCACCCCCACCTAGGCCGCCCTGGACTCCCATCCCAGCCTCGACGGGAGGCACAGAGGCCCGGCCTCCAACGGGGAGGTCGCGTCTCTCCGCGCGGGACACGCCCGCTTGCGGAAGGCCGAGGGCTGGCTCCCGGAGGCTGGAGGAGGAGGAGGCCCGGACGCCGGGGAGGACTGCGACCCCCTGCTGCAGCAGATCCGCAACATCACGTCGTTCATCCGCCAGGCGCGGGCGGCGGGCCGGGAGGCCGAGCTGCGCACTCTGCAAGAAAACCTCCGGCAGCTCCAGGACGAGTTCGACCAGCAGCAGACGGAGAAGGCCTTGGAGCTTTCCAGAAGGGAGGCCGAGGCGGAGGATTTCCAGCGGGAGCAGCTGCAGAAGCTCCGGGAGCGCGAGTGGCAGCGGGAGCGCGAGGCGGCGGCGGCGGCCTCGGCCTCCTCGCTGAGCCTCCACGCGCGCACCAAGTCCCTGGACTTCCGAGAAGCGAGGCCGTTCCAGGTGGAGGCCCGCGCGGCCTCCGCTACTGCGGGAGGCGGCCTCGCGCGCGCCCTGGACCTGGGCGCCTCCCCGGTTCCGGGCAGCTTGGCCTCTACCTCCCCTTTGTCGCCCATCCAGGCTTGCTGGGGGCCTCCAGCTTTGGGCCTCCAGTTACGTCCCCAGAGTGGCGCGTCGCCTCCGCCGCAAGACGAGGTCGCCTCCTTAAACCCCTTCGCGGAAGAGGAGGCCGCGTCCGGCCTCGCCGAGGAGGCCGCAGCGCAAGTCCCCAAAGAGTACAACCCTTTTGAGGAGGAGGACGAGGAAGAAGAGGAGGAGGAGGAGGATATAGGCGTCGGGAACCCGTTTGTCGCGGGCCGGGACCCTCCGCCGGCGCCCAACCCCTTCGAGGAGGAAGAGGAGGAGGAAGAGGGGGTACAGGGTCTCCCGGCCTCCGGACAGAGCCTCCTCCCGGCCTCCAGCAACCCGTTTTTCGAGGCCGGCTCCACAGCCGGCAGCAACCCGTTCGAGGCGGACGGCGACTGGCTCGACGGCGACAGCGAGCGCATCGAGGAGGAGCTCCTGCTCCAGCAGATCGACAACATCAAGGCGTACATCTTCGACGCCAAGCAGAGCGGCCGCCTGGACGAGGTGGAGGTCCTCACCGAGAACCTGCGCGAGCTGAAGCGCGCGCTGGCCAGGCAGAAGGGGGGCGCCGCGGAGTGACGGGGACGTTGAGGGGCGCTGGGATGGTGGTGGGGACACGCAGCCGGGGACGGGGAACGCGGGATGGAGCACGTGGCGTCGCCGGGGATCGAACCAGAGCGAGGACGGAGACGCGCGCACGCCAGGGACGGGAGTGTGCGTTGCGCACTGCGCGATTATCCCCACGGCGACCGAATAATAAAAAGTGGGAGCTAGAACCGGAAGGGTCAGCGCCCTCATTTGCTGTTTTGCCTGCTTTTTCATATTTTTTTTTTTTTTTGAGAGACAGAGTCTCACAGCAGCCTCCAACTCCTGGCCTCAAGTGATCCTCCTGCCTCAGCCTCCTCTGAATTAGCTCGGACTACAGGCCTGCGTCACCACGCCAGGCTCATTTTTCCTATATATATATATATATTTTAGTTGGCCAATTAATTTCTTTGTATTTTTAGTAGAGACAGGGTCTCGCTCTTGCTCAGGCTGGTCTCGAACTCCAGCCCTGGAGCGATTCTCCCGCCTCAGCCTCCTTCCGGAGTAGCTGGGACTTACAGGCACGCGCCACCACGCCCCATTAATTTTTTCTCTACATATTTTTAGTTGTCCGGCTAATTTCTTTCTTATTTTTTTTTAGTAGGCACGGGGTCTCGCTCTTGCTCAGGCTGGCCTCGAACTCCTGACCTCGAGCGATCCTCCCGCCTCGGCCTCCCAGAATGCTGGGCTGATGAGCTGTTTTATGGCCAGTGTTTATAGTACTGGGAAACCGACATGTTTGAAGAAGCACAAACAACTCCTAGGAACATTCTGGTAGCCCCGCAGTACTTGAACTCTTCTCCAACTTAGCGCAGAAAGAAAGGGAAGTGGTCACCTCCGGCTCTGGTGCTTTGGTTTACAGGGACAAAATCCTCAAGTGACATGTGGACATTGTGATACCCACGTCCACTCTGTTCTGGGTAGACTGTCTGTAGTTACGCATCTTTTTTTTTTTCAAGACAAAGTCTCGCTCTGTCACATAGTCTAGAGTTCTGTGACATCAGCCTCGCTCACAGCAGCCTCCAACTCCTGGCCTCGAGCGATCCTCCTGCCTCAGCCTCCCTCCCAAATAGCTGGGACTACAGGCATTCGCCTCCACGCCCGGCTCACTTTTTCTATATATTTTAGTTGTCCAGCTCATTTCTATTTTTTTTTTTTTTAAGTAGACACGGGGTCTCGCTCTTGCTCAGGCTGGCCTCCAACTCCTGACCTCGAGCGATCCTCCTGCCTCAGCCTCCCTCCCCAGTAGCTGGGACTACAGGCACGCGCCACCACACCTGGCTTAATTTTTTCTGTGTATATTTTTAGTTCCCAGTTAATTTCTATTTTTTATTTTTTTAGTAGAAACGGGGTCTCGCTCTTGCTCAGGCTGGCCTCGACCTCCTGACCTCAAGCGATCCTCCTGCCTCAGCCTCCCCAGTAGCTGGTACTACAGGCACGCGCCACCACACCCAGCTTAATTTTTTCTATGTATATTTTTATTTCCCAGTTAATTTCTGTTTTGTTTTTTTAGTAGAGACTGGGTCTCGCTCTTGCTCAGGCCGGCCTCGACCTCCTGACCTCGAGCGATCCTCCCGCCTCGGCCTCCCAGCGTGAGTTATGCCTCTTAATTAATGAACGAACGATAACCGACCACTAGTCACTTTATAACCCCCCCCTTAAACTAACTCTGGGCCATCCTTTGAACCGGCTGCCGGTTGTGCGTAGACCCGGAATTAGTTTTGCGACATTCTGGCGAAGTCCCCTCTTGGTGTAAAAATCGTGTTATCTGGGTCTCCACGCTGGCCTCGTTTTTTTTATTTTTTATTTTTTGTTTTAGCATTTTCTGGAGCTTTCGATCAAAGCTGAGAAAGGATCTCTAATGGGATTTTGGGAACGGGGGGACGTCAGGGTGATTGGAGGAAGCTTTGTGTTTGGGTTCTGGTGACAAATAGGGACACGTCTGCTAGTGACAAGTCCTGCTGGCTGCCTTGGTTTATTTCGAGACATTTGTGGCCTCCGGGCATCCGAAATGCTTGGTGGCACAGGCCTGTTTTTGTCCCCGAAGTCCATTTCCTTCCTGCAGGGTTTTGTGGCCGGCCGGGCGGCTCCCCTTGCTAAGGTTGTCACTTCTGTGTCCCCAAACGTCTATGCTGTCTCCGTGCCAAAACGCAGGTAGTTCCAGAAGCTAATTGCCGCCTTCCGTCATATGACAACATCTCTATGTCTGTTTTTTTTTTTTTTTTTTTTTTTAAGGCAGAGTCTCGCTGTGTCGCCGGGCTGGAGTGAGTGCCGTGGCGTCAGCCTCGCTCACAGCAGCCTCCAGCTCCTGGCCTCCAGCGAGCCTCCCGCCTCGGCCTCCCTCCCGAGTAGCTGGGACTACAGGCATGCGCCACCACGCCCGGCTCGTTTTCTCTATATATAGATTTTTAGTTGTCTGGTTAATTTCTATTTTTTTAGTAGAGACGGGGTCTGGCTCTTGCTCAGGCTGGCCTCCAACTCCTGACCTCGACGGCGAGCCTCCAGCCTCGGCCTCCCAGAGTGCTGGGATGACAGGTGGGAGCCTCCGAGCCCGGCCATATGATCAAGGAAGGTCTTGCTGTGGGGTCCC